ATTGACCCTCATTAATTATACTTGTAATCCTCCTAACATTCCTCTGTGCATTTATTCCAGCATTCAGTTTTCCTGGATATACTTTGCTGGCAAAGCTCCACTTTTTACAGGCATGAAATATTCATAAAGTGAACTGGTTTTTGGGCATAGATTTGGGTACAAACCCACTTTCCCCTTCCAAGAAAATTTAACATAAAACAAATATATCAAATTCAAGGCAAGACAAAATGGAAATCTTGCAAATGTATTTAACCCCAAATCATGTTCCCTAAACCAGATGTGCTTCATTGAAACATTTCATATGGATGGTTTAGATGTGATTCATCAAAACATGTCATGTGAATGGCTTTGAGATATTTCACCTGAATTTCTAACTAATCTTTTTGATGGATTTTTTTTTTTTCTTAGAAATTAACTTGCATTTGAAAATGCAGCAACTTAAAGTGAGAATTTTAAAGAAAAAAGAAGCCTTTGTTTTCCAAATTCCTAATGGACAGTTCTTCTCCCTCCCTATTCATCCCCCATTATTCCCTCTCCTCCAGTAATCAGAAACAGAAATTTCATTGCAACATCCCCATTTTAAAATATTATCTGTTCTGAGTGGTTGCACTGGACAGTTTTGCTGTTGTGGTGCTGCCCTCAAGGAAATGTACTCGCTCAGATGGTTAGTTGAAGCCAAGAACATTTTTGACACCCACAAGGAGCCTGCCAAGTGACTGTGGGCATTGTGCATTAGTGTCTCTCTAGCCATAGGAAAACCTAAACCACATGAATGACTTGAACCAAGATTTCCTTCTAAGAAAAAAGTAAATTTGTGTATATATCACAACATTTCAGTTTTAGCTGAATTGCCTGCAAGATGGCAAATTTCAGGAAATTAAGGAAAGGAGCTTACTCACTACTGAGCAATGTTAAGTGAATATTCACCACAACATCTGATGCATGATAAAGCTTTAAACCTCTCGTGCTTTACTGAACCCGAGGAACTTCTCATTTGAATGAGACACAACTCAGGCATTAGTCAGACAGGAGATGAGATGCACTCCTATAAAATAACCACATTAATATGAAAAATGAGACATAAAGCAAACTGTCCCCATATGTTGCTATCCATATCTCAGAAAGATTTTTCTTGAAGTTTTACTGTAATGATCATCAAGGGAGTATATATGTCCTGGTCTGGAATTGATATTAAACTAGAGAGAAGGGAAGGGGGGCAAACCCAGACAAAGAGATATCCAGGAAACAGGGACAGATGGGCGATATCTAAAACAAAAAGGTATTGGCAGGGGAGATAGGGAATGCCCTCCACTGAACTGTTTGGGTACTGAGCATGGTGTTCTCCTCATAAACACAAGGAGAACTGCTTGGGGTCCTGCCACCAAACCCTGCTTACATGTAACACAGTTGACTATCCTGCTGCGTTACTGATCACTTGCAATCGTTTTTTAATGTAGTTTGGGGGATACAGTATATGTATCATTTCTTTATTATGGTCTTTCAATCACTATACAAAGCAAAAACATTGTTTGGAGCAGATGCACTCTTTTATTTGCTAATATGTTCTTGGTTGACACTAATTTGCCACAGCAAAATTTAGCATCCATCTTCAAAATGCTGCTCACTAATGCCATTCCAAAAACCAATGGGTATGCAATAAACTGCATCAAACAACCCATAATAAAGCAGTTTTACTACAGATGTTCATTATGCACATGAGTCTCTGTAGCAGCCTGTGCATTTTGGAGAAATGTTTGAAATTAGTTTGGAAAAGCAGTAATTAAAATTAAAGTTATTTCTCATATAAAATTCAGTCAGATCAGAACCACAGACATGTCACAGCGCTCAATTCCCATGAGGGACTTCTCCCCCCAACCCCTGCCCTTCAAAGCATGTTTGCTAATTTTGCTGTAGACTTGGGTATCATATGCAAAGCTGCGTTGGATTCCAGCAGACATCGTGCTTGTGAGTAGCAAATATTTGGACTTTAAGATTTGGTGCTTTTCTCATTAATACTTCTGAACATGCTCCTGACTGACATTTTCCCTAAGAGCTCATTGGATACATGTAATGAATGCACTGCATGTTGGATTAATTGTCCTGTGAGCTCATTGCCTGCCTTTTGTACCCAAATTTCTTCATAGTGCTACGGAAAACATTTGTCATACACTGTGGCTCTCACCAGTGACTGGATATATGAGTAGCGTCTGGTGACACGAACCGACTTGTACTCAGAGCCTCACCATGTGAACGCAAGTGCATCCACCATGTGATGAGGATAGCTTCAGTGTACAATTTAAAATGTATTTAAAAAAAAAAATACATTTTAATGTATGTGTTTGGCTGGGCAACCAGATGAAGGTCTCATGTCCGAGTGTGAAGGTACTGAGCTCTCTGCTGGGAGGTGTGAAGGTACTGAGCTCTCTGCATGGCCTGCCACAAAGAGCGAGGCTCTTGGTCTAGCTGCTCACGACATTGTCACTGCTTGTAGCACTCATCAGCAGAATGACAACAGGATTTTAATGAAATCATAATTTATTTATTTTTTTCAGCATTTGATCCTTTCTCTCCCCATGTAACAGAAAATGTTGCTGTACTAAGGCAAATTCAAAATTATCAGTCAGATTGTTTTTTCAAGTCTATTCCTTTAATTTTCATTTTTGGCGCAGTTTTAGATTGAACCTTATTTTTGCTGAAGTAGGGTGGTTTTTTTTTGTTTTTGTTTTTGTTTTTTTAATATATATATATTTTTAACTTACCCCTCCCCTGAAAGTGGTAAAAGTTTTGTAGTGAACTGCTCTCTAGCAGAATGTCTAGTGGTTTAGTGTGTGTGGTCCTTTGTTCTTGATTTGCTCTTATTGAATGCTCTTCAGACAAGGCAAGCAAAGCATTAATCACCTCCTGTGTCATGTGGATCCCAACAGGCTCTTAGGAACCTTAAGCAAAGGAGAGATGAGAGATGTGTCTGAACAAAATTGTCTGAGCAAATACTGTTGAATTTTGTCAAAATTTAGATCTTAAATGTTCTTTTTTTGTTTGCTTGTTTGTTTTGTCTTGGACCCAACCTTGAAGGAATTTGCAAGAAAAAGATGGAATCCCCATGTCTTAGCAAGGGCAGAGTGTCAGGAATCAGTTCCCTTCCTTTGCAGAGCATGAGGGGCTGCAGAATGAAACAGTGAGAAGATGTTATCAATCAGACTCGAAGGTAACCACCAAATAGCTGTGGAACGAGTTCCCAACATTGCCTATGAGTTTTACATGCAGATGTGGCATTCATCAATTCCCAGTGACATCAGTCTGTGTGTTGCAATATCAGGACATGAGGCATGATTGATTAATTTGTAGCTCTGACTCCATTTCCTGACCTACTAATTCCCTGCTCTCCACTATTGAATACAAAGGCTCAAACAAAAGGAAAAAAAAAAGGGAAAATGAGATCCTCTTTTTTTTTTTTTTTTTTTTGAATAGGAAGATAAATGAGCTCCCTATTGAATAAGGAATAAGTCATAGATTTGCTGAAAAGTGCTAACTATATTTGGGAGTACAGTGTGAATTTATTTCCATGAAAAAAGACATATCTCTGAGTCACTAATATGTGGCAAGAGGCACATTAAGTGCAATTAAATAACATGTTAAAAAATGGTTCTGTAGTTTCTCTGTCCTCTCACAGAGCAGTTTGGCTCCTGAAATGACCTTGTTTCTGAAACCCATGTCTGCACCTTCAACCCATAAAAGCAACTTAATAAACCTTCCAGACCTGAAATGAACGTTTTGATGACACTATGAATACAGTATATGCTAAAGATCTTCTATTCCATTTTCTATAACCATAAACAGATACGCTTTAATGGTCTGATGCCTTTACCTTAAAAAATTCCAATTTAGTTCCCTAGAGCTATAATAATAAAAACTGCTGACATTCTGTTTTTATTTTTCAGAATAAGAAGAACCTGTCTTATAAAGCCTTTTCTGTATTTGTGGACGGGTGAGATCAAGCTAGGACTTAGAATCAGGCATCTTTCTTAAGAAGAAAGGGATGTGACACAGACTTTTAAGCTTGACACAGGTGACAGCAAGTCTTTCGACACATGAAGCCTATTCATTTTTGTCTTGAAAATAGCTTTGTAAATGTCAGAGTTTAAAATTCATTTGGTTCATCTTCACTTTTGTTCAGCAGCCTCTCTATCACCCATGTTTGAAGGGAAGATCTATCCATTTCTGTCAGAACAACCTCACTGTGCAGACAGGGACTCCCATTTTACCACGCCTGCTGTGCGTGCTTCTGGTTACAAGAGTTCAGGTTCTGATGTTTGAAAACCTCTACATGGCAGGCAGAGAGAATGAGACATTAATTTTTATTTGTTTGTTTGTTTTCTTTGGCTTTTAACCACATATAAAATGCAAATAGGGGTTAGTAGGTTGCATGATGTCTAAGAGGGAATTTGCTACATGCTGCAGAAGCTATGTCCCTCACTTGCGGCATGCAATAAAATATCTTACACATTTTAACTCAAATATGAAATGGCAATACAAAGTTAGACGTGGATGTAGCATTTTGCTGCCTATTACTGTAAGTGTTGACATTGTATTGAAAGCACAGTCGCACTGTAGAAAATGCATTTCTTATATTGACCTGACAGAATTCAATCTTCAAATATCTCAGAGCAACCAGCATGAGGTTATTCAGTATCTGCACAAACCGTATTGTAATAGTTTTCACCAGGAATGATCACGGCAATCTTTCATAGGCCTGCATTTTTCTGTTTTTGCTGATTCTTTCTTTTCTTTTCTTTTCTTTTCTTTTCTTTTCTTTTCTTTTCTTTTCTTTTCTTTTCTTTTCTTTTCTTTTCTTTTCTTTTCTTTTCTTTTCTTTTCTTTTCTTTTCTTTTCTTTTCTTTTCTTTTCTTTTCTTTTCTTTCTTCCTTCTTTCTTTCTTTCTTTCTTTCTTTCTTTCTTTCTTTCTTTCTTTCTTTCTTTCTTTCTTTCTTTCTTTCTTTCTTTCTTTCTTTCTTTCTTTCTTTCTTTCTTTCTTTCTTTCTTTCTTTTCTCAAGAGTCCATATTCAAACTACTTTCAAAAAGCCTCTGCAGATTTTAATCTTTTTACAAAAGATAAATTCTCTCTCTCTCTCTTCTATTTTTTTTATTTTTTATTTTTTTGGTCTTCCAGGAACAATTATACCCTATTATGCTGCAAGTTCCTTTTACTCACTTATGAAAAGAACATAGGAACAGGCTTTGTGGACAGCCCAACTCCATAACCTGGCTTTCACAGTAGCAAAAAGCAACACCAATCAGTGTATTGAATAGTAATAACTTGTGGCTTGTCCTGAGTATTATTGACAGCAGTGATTAGTTCTGAGCACTGGAAACCACTGCTTTGTGCTTATGATCTTCAAGGTCAGAGGTTTATATGGCCAAAGCAAAGGGAAAGAGAGCAGAAAGGACCAGAAAACCACTGAAGTAGCCGAGCTATAATGAAGATGGTCATGGGAGCACAGGTCCAACCCTTGAGGTCACTGTGTCTAGCTGCTTAATGCTGGAGGCAGCCAGATCTTGCAGCCCCTGCACACTGTGGGGAGAATGTCAAATAGCCAGGGCCAGGTTTGTGAGGACAAGTATTATCCTGCTGGAAAACAAAACAAAACAAACAAAAAAAACAACCTCTTTCAGGCACATAAACCTTATTTTGAGTCTGAAGAGAATGAAGCACAGGCTGAGAATAATATATTCTTGGACCATCGCAGTTACAACACTGCTACTATTGCAATTCTGTCAGTTAATTTATTTTTACCGCTAACAGCCCCTGAGGAGTATGTCAATTTAAATTACAAAGCACCAAGTGGAGCTTCATAAAAACGAACCTCCATGTATAAACCTTAATTTCATGCAAAGTCCTAGGGAAAATTCTTTACCAAAACCAGTTATTTTTGCATCCTAAATCAGGATAAGCTTCATCTTAGTGTTAGAATGGAAGTTAGGGTTAGAAAGTCTGAAAGAAAATTCAGCTCACACTTTTGATCTTAGAGTGCAAGACATTCCCAGTCAACACCAAGTTTCTAGGACCTGGTGAACATCAAAGCTATGCTATCATCCTAAATTGAGGAGGCCCTCAAGATGCTTCTGCTTATTGTGTAGAAATTCCTCCTGATGAACTGAGGCCCTGACCTGATAAAATCATTCCAGGCTGAGCCTATTCTGCAATTCCTTGTTCAATCTTTCCCTTAAGCAATGTCTTCTCCTCCTGAACCAGAGTGCACTCTCACTGCTATGGGCAAAGCAAGTGTTTTTCCTTGGTTCAAAACCCCTTTGTGATGCTCCAGCCCTTCTCAGAAGAAATTCTGAATCATTATTCTTCCAGCAAAAAGCATATCAGAGGAGAAACCACTGCCCCTTGGACTCAGGACAGCTGCTCTGGCACATAGCTCTGTGGATGATTGTACTGAAGGGTCACCTCATGCAGGTGGCCAGGGAATAAAACTCATTACAAGATGTGGAAATAGGAAAATTGACTGTTCCATAGACAGGGAAGCGAAATTGGACTGGAAGTCAGAGACAAATTGAAAGGGGATGAGCAGGGACTGAAGACCAGATCTACAACCCTAGGTCTGGGCCTTGTCTAAGATGATATATTGCATCCTGGAATTCAAGGGGACATTTTAAAGTGAATACCACACTTTGCCCATTTAATAAACTTACCTGCTGTGAGTGACTGCTAGGTATGGATTCTGCTGTACATCTGTTAAGCTAACATTACAGATGACTGATGTTTATGTGATGGGGAGGCTTTACAGTGCTGATTAAGTAAATATTTGCTTTTAAATATTTGCATGCCAATACTTAGATTTATGAATGTGAATTCTCAAGATCCGTGTTTTTATGATCCCATTTCAACAAGGGCAATTACTTCCATTCTGCTAATGAGGAAAAGACATAACCAATATTAAAAGACCATGGGAATAGAGTAGGATCAAAGGTGCAGATTACCAACTGGAACATATATTTCTGCTCATGTTTATTACTTGATGCTTTTTGCATAAAGAAGCAGTTTTTTGGTTTAATAAAATTTTCTTTTCTTGCTGCTGATTCCTTCCCGAGGTCATAATCCTCCTCTTGTGACATCACAATTGACTACAGGGAAAAATGTTATCACGTTGTACTTCAGTGATAGGAGGTTGAGGTGATGAAATAAGCAGCTCTTAAGCAGAAATCAGTGTTCTCATGCTCATATCCTTTGTGTTAAAGTATTAATGCTGAAGGGAACCAATCCCCAATGCAGTATTTTTTCATCACATGACAGCAGTTTATTAGGCATTTGGCATTATAAAAACAGTCACCATGATATGTCTATAATGACACTCTTAGGACAGTCCTACAAGACTCACAAGAAGAGAGCTTATAATTAAACCAAAAATAAAATCTACTGATACAGGACGTCCACTGGATTTTCCAGCCTATGATGTCTCCCTTGTGTCTTTCTGTTAGACTACAATCATTTGAAGTCAGGGAACACTCTGATACTAACGTACCATATTTTTGACAGTAAATAAATACTAAATGCTTGTGCACAACATTTTATTTTATTTTTTTTTAATAGCCAGTTAGAAGTAAATATCTCCAGTAACATTTTTCACTATCTTGTATGACCGTTATCTGCCCAGCACCTGTACCAGCAGTTAGCAGCAACCTGACACCAGAGAACTCATATGATGCAGCTAATGAATTCTGCTCTAAATTATGTAACAGTTAAATGTAAGCTTGGTTTATAGGCAAAATGGTTTCAAACCTGCTTGTGTTTTCAGATCTGGATTAGGTTTTACATCTGAGTTTGACCAGCCTTCTACAGTGTGAAAACTAAAGTCATCTTCTAAACTACTGTCCACAAGTGTTTGAACTTTGTAGTTGTTATCTTCTATTTGTTGTACAATAGGATAAAATAATCTGGAGATGGATATTCAGTTGCTTGTATGATTTATTCCTTTTCCCATTTTGTAATTTAAATAGTACAGTCTTTCTTGCTACAAAGAATAAGGACAACAGAAATGACCTCTAAAACAATCACCTTCAGCCAGTCCTTTGACTGATATTTTACCCTGGATCTGACAGTTCTTTCCTTGACTCTTTGGAGGGAAATGCACACTCATGTAAGAATAAGGATTGGGTAAGAATAAGGATTGGGTATGGGAGGGTGCTCACATGTTCATAGCAGTCACGAAGATCAACAAATTAGTTATTCATTTTCTTTATGTCACCTGGGAGTTCCTGATAACAGAGTGATTCTTTGCTGCCATATGCTACAGCTCCATAAAACAAATAATTTATGCACAAATTACAAAGATCACAAAGAAGCAGGAGAACACAAGAACTGCAACATCAGCTTCACGTGCAATCAGCACAAAGGAGGAAACAGACCTTCTGTGGAAACACCTTTCCACACAATCCCTGCAGGATTTGTGTACCTCTCTGCCAGGGCAGGTAACGTTACAGCTGGGGAAGGGGATTTCTACGAGCTGTGGAAGTGCTCCAGGACGTGAAGCTGGTGGGTCTCTGACTCTGGCCCGGTTATGGCTTTGGTTCAGCAAAGCACTTATGTCTCATTGACTTTGCTGCAGTGAAACACATCTGTGTTCTGTGGAGCCTCTGTTGCTGAACTACACCTGGGATTGAACACAATGATAGTTTTGATCTTTCAGGGGATGTGATCAGTTTTAAATGTATACTAAAAAAACAAAAGAGCCCCAAAACACTAGGCTTACTTGCCAATAATATAGATAATGAATTATTCAATTACAACTCAAATGTACTTTCCATTTCCATTACTTTCCATTCCCTCTGCCAGATGACCAGAGTTTGGTGTTTCTCTGTTTGGGAAATGAAAATAGATTAGTCTGTCTCACTTCTGTTTACAGCCTGATCCTAATAAATTTCACTTAGAGGTTCTCCTCTGTTGGCCCAATACTTGAACTTTCCAGCTATAACTGTGCAAAGGGATTATTTTCATTTAGAATTAAATAAATTGCTATAATTCTTGTTTTAATCCCATTTTTTTGTTTTTAGGGAAAAACCAACCAACCAACCAACCTTTGGTAATGCCTGAATTTCAATTTGTTAAAAAAATCTGATACTAACATTTAGAAAGGTTTGCTAGTTTGTGCTCTGAATGTATTTACTTTAAACCTGTCTTCACTTCACTCCCCGCCTATACAATCTCCAGGTATTACACTTTACTCAATGCTGCCCATGTCCAACACGTTGTCAGCACCCTGCTGCTCAGTGGGCACCCCAGGCTGGATTGCAAAGGAGCAAACTAACACAAGAGAGGGCCTGGGCTGACCTAGCACCTCTCCCAGAGCAGAAATGGAAGATGCTTCATGATAAATTCTGGTTCATTTTCCTATCTATGAAGAAAGTACACTTCTTTTGCTTACTCCATCAGGAGGTATAAGCTGATTTAATTTCAGACTTGTATTACTGCATTTCAATGTATCAATTACCTCCTCTACTACTGGCAAATACCTGTGATACAGGCTGCATTTGCAACTATAGCACATAATCCCTTTTATCCACTGCACCTGCCAGATTCTGTTTTGAAGTAGGCAACAGTTTCATTGTGTCACTGACATTATCATTTCAATACAGTCTCTTCACAAAATTGTTCTTATTCACTTGTGCAGAAAGTTAGATATTTCTTGATTTGCCATCTAAGGAGCTATTAGGATTGCCTTTTTCCTTTTCTTTCTTTCCTTCCTTCCTTCCTTCCTTCCTTCCTTCCTTCCTTCCTTCCTTCCTTCCTTCCTTCCTTCCTTCCTTCCATCCATCTATCCATCCATCCATCCATCCTTCTTCTTCTCTCTTTCTCTCTCTCTTTCTTTTTTTTTTTATATTTTTTTTTTCTAAAACTCTTCTTTTACAAAAATGAGGCTTACATTTCTGCTTTTCTATTTGCCATGAAAAAATTCTAGAAAAAATAAATATCCAAAGCCCCAAATAATTTTATAATAATTTTATACCTGGAAATTTTAACTGTCTTCTACCATGGAATTTACCAGTTATTTAGTGATCTATTTGTGTCTGTGAGCTATTTCTCTCTTAATTAGAGTATGCATCCCATAATGCATTGCTTTTTTCCCTGAGAGGAAAGACTCGGGTATATCACAAAGTATGTTGTCCAAAAGGAAATCATGACAATAGAGGAAAATATCCAAATCAAATAGCCACCTCAGGCTGGAGTTCCCATCCAAATCACATCTGCTTCTGTCCAACTGCATTGCCTCCTTTCTCCTAGAGGGGAGGGATTATACTGTGCCATGTGAAGTATACAGAAAATCATGCTTAAACAAGAAGGCTTATGCAAAAGGCAAGGTGGACATTTACAGAAAGAAACAGTCTTCCCAGAAAATGTACAGTGTTTGCATTAAAGTCCAAGTCTGGAGGACAAGTTATGGGGGAAAGATTTTGGAATTCCTTCAAAAATCCATTTTTACAACCAGCTTTAAAGCCATCTTTACAAATCTAACCTTAATGCTGGTTATTGACATTCTTCTCCCACAGGACATTGATTGAGTGGATACAGAGTTGGAAGCTTGCAGAAGTCTTAAATTTACAACTAAATTGCTTGACAGAGCTAGTGGGGGCTGTGTGAGTGGGGCAGGACTGTGCATTTGAGGAAGATGCTCCAGAAACTCACATTTTAATTTTGATTCTACAAAGTGATAGACAAATCATTTTTGCTTTTAAGTTTTGAAAGAAAAAAATTATGATGTTTTCCAGAAACAGAAACATGCAGGAGGGACAGAATTAGAAGACAGCCAACATCAAGGCAGGCCACTTGGAGCAGTTGTGCTGTCTCAGAAACGGGGCAGGAATGTGGTCCAGATACTTCAGTTGCCACCTGCCCCTCTGTGTCCCGCTTGTTGGGGAAGTAAGGAGCATTGTTTCCTGTATGCCCAAGGCACAAATGTCAAAACCTTGCTGATAAATCATCTCTCAGGTGGGCTTTAGTGTACAAATGGACACACAGGTGGAACAGGGCACCTTACCCCTCTGCTGTCCTTCATGAAGCTGTGAACTCCAGTGAGCTCTGGGGAAAATTCCCCTCACTTTAGGAAAAAGTGCTTGCAATTCATTCACTTCCTCACTCTGTGTTGGGGCCTTGTTCAGGCCTAGCAACCTGAAAGTGGCCTCCTGGCTGCTTCCCAGCTCCCTGTGCTGTGGCAGAGCTGAACTGGAGCACTTCGAGCCTTACGGAGTCCATAGGCACAAGAAAAAATAGCCCATTGAACCACCATGGCTCAGGCAAATCAATTTCTATAATTAGGTCACAGTGGACTTTCAGAGACCTCTGCTGAGGACCATGCATACAGCTTGGTTCACAAAGAAGCTCTGCACTAGTCCAAGGCAAGGACTGAATTCAATACTCTAACTTTGGAAAGAGGGATTTTAACCCCTCTGCCTCCACACTCTTACACCACCTTCCACTGACTTAAAGGTGTTTGAAGGAGAACTGAGGGCTATGATTCCCCTGTGAGGGAACATTTTCCTATGTGAGTTTTTTACAATGCATGTGGTAGACCACATTTTCATTCCTGAGTCACCAAGAAATGAGAAAAAACATGCAACTGTCAGAGCGGTGCAATACTTCATGGCAGGGCAGCAGCACAGGGCTCAACTCATGTGTCCTTGTTGCTCTGCCAGCGTGGCATCCTCCTGATCAAAGCTACATCATCCTAGCAAATACCACTGAGCTGCAGTGAGCTGGGGCAGGACAAGCATGCCAGGTGAACTGCCACAAATCAGTGACCCATCAGGGATCCACCACACCTCACTCCCTGCCCAGCGGACCCTGGGCCTCGTGTAATGTTTATGCCCCTGAATCCTCCCAGCGTTGCCTTGTTTTTTCCATTTCCTCCACCACCCACCGTTTCCCTCCTGAGTCTCTCCCTGCCCACACCCCTACCAAACACGTGTCAAGCTGTGCTTATTTGGATGGCGCAACGCATTTCAGCAAAATGTCTTCAACAGTGGGGTTGTACAGGGTCCACAAGAGGAAAGGCCTGTGGATAAGGCACTGGGCAGGAAATCTGCTGTTTGGCTTTTGCACTGACCTGCATTGGAGCCCGATTTAAGCTGTTAGCTCCCAGTGACCTCTGTGGGGATGACAAGGCAGGGAGCGGGGGCTCAGTGCCCGCCTGCATCACAGAGGAGAGCTGTGCAGGGGTCGCAACAGCAGCTCCTGTGTGCCAGGAGCATCCAGGCTGGGTTGGTGCTGACCCACCCGAGGCTGCTTTCCCCTTCCTCAGCCTAATTCTAGTTCCTCAGGCAGCTCATACAGAGACTTGGATATCTACAGGCTCTGCATGCATTGTGTAAATAGGAACTTAATCCCATTATAGGTCTGAGCAAGTCCACTGAGGCCAAGCATCTCGAGCAGGCTAAAACACAGCCAGGCAGGCCTTCATTATATCCTCTTCTGCAGTGTGAGAGTGAGTTTGGATTTCTCTCTACTTGAAATTGAAACTGGTGGCATTTTATAGCAATTGCAAGAGGTGTGGATGACAGAGAAACATGGAGCAAGCCCAGGATCACCTCTGAGTTTGCCAAATCACTGCAAGGATGTAGGGCGATTAAAAGGAAAATGTTCATCCGTGTTACTGATGAGGAACACTTGCAGTTACTAAAACAGAAAGGACTTTAAATGGATGATTTGTTTTCTATTAGCTGGGTTGCTTTATATTCTTCACAGTTCTCCCAGGCTCAGCTGTAGAAATAAACCAGTCAGGTTCACTTTTACTCAGAGCTGGTTTCTAGTCAGGTTTCTTTGGGCTCAAATCAGCAATAACTGGGATCTAAATGATGAAGTGAAAAACAAGGAGGAGAGGACAGGGAGAGTGGGGAATGTTGAAATTCCCAAACTATTCCTGCTTTTCCTGTATTTTGCAAAGGGTTGTTTGGAGCCAGATTCTGGGCCAGATCAACTTCTAGCAACACACTTACTTTTTCTCCACAAGGCAGAAGAAAATAATTTAAAAATTTCAGGCTCCACACTGGTAAACTATACCCTCTGACAGAGCTGCTTCTCCTCAGGCAAATTGATGTGGAATCAATTATAAGACAGTGTGGTGGATTTACTTTTCCATCGTACAGAAACAAAACAAAACAAACAAAGAAAAACGTGTACATGTTTTCCTCTTCAGTTTCCTCCTCCTTAAACAAGAGAAAATCTTTGGTCCCAACTTCCTCCGACTACCATAAGTGTGGTAAAGGTGCAGTTAGAAATGGCATTTACCTGGTCAAGTATGCTGGGCTTTCTTTTTCATTTTAAGGAAATCTTGAGGAAGTTTTGCATCTGGTTGGCAGTCTCTGTGCTCCCGACTCATTTCTGAGTTCATTTCCTTTGGAAGCAAAACAAAGGAGAATGCTCTACAACCTTTTACCATGCAGTTATCTGCATTCCCGGACAATGTCACTGTCTGGTATGTGACTCATTTGTGGTCTCTGCAAAGTTTATGCGTTCATTATAGCCTCTGCTCATTCTGCTATATTATAGACAAAATTAGGCTTCACTGAACTTCAGTTTTCAGGGACAGGCTTATGTTATAAATGGAAGGGTAGCATATTGTGGGGGCAAATGTGGCCACATCTGATCATTACGTAACATTATTTCTGAGATGTATGTACTAGAAAAATCAAAAATTTCTAACAAACAACGACAGCTTAAATAGGGAAGACATTCCTTGTTATTCATTGCAAACAGTGAAATTTGCTATGTGGTAGTTACAGAGATGCTCTGAAAGACCACTGACTACAGAAATACATGTTGTGCTCCCATCAAGCAATAACCTGGAAGAGGTTAAATAAAATTCAGATCTAATCTTATCATGTCTGCCAAGCTAACTCTGATTGGAGGGTCAAATTAATGGTGCTCCTGTAAAACAAACTGCTGAGGTATCCTGAGAAAGGGAAGCTTTCATCAGGCTCATTCCTATGCATCCAAAATGAGCCTATTTCTTCCCTGTGCATCATTACCAGATCAAACAGCTGCAACATCTGAGCATGCAGAAGGAGGGTCGATAGGAGATGGGTTGTCTATGTAAGGGAATTAAAAGGTAGAATTAAAGCTGTGTGAGGTGTACAGGGTAAGGTAGCAGCTAGATCTGTGCATGCAGAGGGAAGAATGGAGGATATTTGCTGATAGGTTAATTAATTTTAATAGTGGCTTTCCTTGTGTTTTGTCTGAGCTTTCACTGTTTCACAGAATGATTTCTATGTTCTGATGTATGTGGTGGATAAACCTCAACAGAAAGCTTTAATTCAATTCTGCTAAAGATCACCTAAATGCAGCTGGAACCTGGTCTCTACCCAGCTTGGCTGGACTATTGATCTAAAGAAATTAGGCCTGGGACATGCTTGTACCTCCTAGAGATACCACAGGACCACATTTGGGAACATAGATTGTCTCTTTCATTAAGGTGCTACCAGATCTAGCTGATAGCACTGAGAAGTTCAATGCAGTTTGAGATTCAAAAGAAACGTGCATTTTATGCTTGCTTTACACATCTCTATTGATTGCGGTTGGGTAAAGGTAACAGCAGAACTTGATTGTCTGAATAAAAGGTAACACCAGTCTGTGAGAAAACGAGCAATGGAGGAACTTGAGCAAAATTAAAACAATAGCACTTGTCTTCAGTAACGGTCATAGAGGGGCCAGAAGAAAATGTGGAAAATCTAGGAAATAGTTCAAAGGAGATATTTGCGAAAAAGGAGTAAAGGGTGTCAGGAAAAAGAAATTCATGGCAAAAATAGCAGAATCTGAGACAGTCTTTCATTGCAGGGAGCATCATGGATATAAAGGAAATGTTCAAACTGCATAGGAGCAAAGACTGATAAGACTTGCACTGCAGAGATTAAGGTATCAGTTTCCAGGCAAAGGGATCTGGGGATTGGATCATTATTGTACTATTAGCTGTTGGCTGGAGATAAACAAAACAGATGTTTATTCCCAGGAGAAAAAGCTCTTAGAGTTTAACTGACATTGCTAATTTGAAATTCCCTTGAGCAAGAAGGTCTCTCATTGGAGCCAGTCCTCACAAGATAATTTGAAAAAAAAAAAAAAGTATTTATTTTTCACTACACAATACATGCTGATTGCTCCCTTATCATCTGCAGAATTATTTTCTTTATTACTTGCCTTGTATTTCTCAGTCTAACAGATATTAATATAGGATGTGCCTCAATATTTAAGAGTACCTTGTCTGAGTGTGAGAATTTCTAGCCTTGGATGACATCTGAACAAGTCCTCATTTACCTCGCTCCAAAGCCTGCTAAAATGGCAGGATCCCAAATAAAAATGATTAAACTTGTTGGTAAGAGTTCGGGAATAAGCTTGCATCACTGGTAAGACTCATGGCTTTGCAGAACCACAAGAAAACAGAGCTCACCAAGGCCAGACCTGGGTTATCAGAAGCTGGGGAAATTCCACTCCAGGTCTAGCTTCTCTCTCTTTTTTCTTTTTTTTTCTTAGATGTCCATCTGTCACCTTTCATGAGTATTATCTTTGGAAAGCAACAAGAAAGAAAAAAGTCAGAGCCAGTTTAATAGCATGTGTCATCTCTCATCCAGTTCAGGCTGCAGAATTTTTGTTCAGGAGAGGACACATGAACTTCAAAGCTTTGAACTCGTCTCTGTTGTGTTGTAGGGCAATAGTAAAGGATATCCTGGGAATGCAAAGGCACATTTTTTATTTATTTTTTTTTGCAACAGGAAGATCTTTGAATGAAAGAGGCCATCAATCCCTGATGACATTATTTTTATTTCTACAGCACCATTCTGCCAGCAGGGGAATGACAGACCTGCTCTCCCACAGTGAGGAATCAGTAGATGGCCCAGTGAGACTTAGCATGGCACTGATAGGATGCAGCGAGCCAGGAAAAGAACTCAAGTGGGCAATCTCTTCCAGGAAACTAAACACGCCTGACAGTGGAAGTGATACACTTCTTCCTCCTTTATTTATAATGGATAATGCCGCGATTAACATATCAGATTGCACATGCAGTCTCAGCACAAGACATCAAAGGCTTTCCACATAGGTTCTTCTCCTGCCCTGTCTTATTAGTGTGTATGGTGCCCTGAGGATATAACATGCAGAAGTGTAGAATGCCTCATGAGCACTTCAAATGTGAAGCTGAAGGTTTGCTCTAGCCTCATGACAAACAAGACAGACCATTGTTTCAAATGAGAGCAACTCTCAGGAGAACTGCAGTCCTCAGGATACCCTAAAATAATGTAGCCCAACAAAAAAACAGCTACAAAACATTGAAAGAGGCAAAAATGACTTATTTTTTATTATTATTATTTTTAATTTCCAAAAGTGCATTTTCTCTCAGAGAATCTCTCTCAACATTCTTGCGGGAAACTCTGACTTCTTAGCTGGACAACAACCACCTCTCAGTGTCATGTATATGTGAGGTTGTCCCACCAGAAAACTCAGTTTCCCAGCTGGAAATATCAAAACATTTTGGCAAAAGTATTTAGCAGCTTTCCTATGCATTCAAGTTCTCAGACAGAGTTGGGCTGGTGCATGCATTCTCCCTTTCTTTAAAATTGTTTTGCTGATCATTTCTGCTGCTTGAGTTTTGCTATTTTGTGCTTACTAAAATACCTCCTTTACCAACCACAGAAGGAAAACCTTGCTGCATTTGAGGCAGTGGCATTTTGCCTTCTACCCATTATTGTACCTATTTGTCTCTAGCAGCAGTCAGCATGTGGGTGGTTTGGAGAGAGATTTACACGCTGATATTGTACTAAGGTTCCTTTTTATTCAGTAATTTAACTGGGGAGATTGAAACATTGTACATTATTTTGCCTGTGGTAAAATAGACCTATTTTAGTTTCTTTTTTTCCCTTCTTCTGGTTGCTCATTAATATTCAGAGTTTATCTCATCTATTCCCCTCTTCATTTGGTTTGTAAATGATTCCTTTGCTTGCTCCTTTATTTTTAAGTCTGTTTTCAACTTTTGTTTAATCTTCTTGGTGGCTTTTTTTCTTGTTTGTTATTAAATTTTGAGTTAGCTTTTTAAGCTTATCCCTTTTCATATTCATTCCTTAAAATGACAGCTGCTCTTTTTCTCTGTCTTCTACAGAGGCTGTGTGAGCACAGAGAAATGGAGCTGCTCCTCCAGTATGCCACAGATTGCTAATTTTGGTCTGGTTTGCTCAGGTGCCAAGAGCAGGGGCTGGGGAGACTTTAGCCTGTCATCCCCAGTGGCTGCCATCAGATGTAGCATGGTAATAAGTAGAAACTGGCACCAGTGTATGAAGCTTCAATTTAGATGATGGAGTGGCACCGAGATGTGTATTGCTTGAGCAATCCTACTGTAGCTGTCTCCGTAGGATTTTGATTTTGAACTTGCCATTTCACAGAATCGCAGAATTTCTAGGTTGGAAGTGACCTCAAGATCATCGAGTCCAGCCTCTGACCTAACACTAACAGTTCCCACTAAACCATATCCCTAAGCTCTACATCTAAACGTCTTTTGAAGACTTCCAGGGATGGTGACTCCACCACTTCCCTGGGCAGCCTGTTCCACCTTCACTTTTCAGCTCTCATTATCTCCACACCTCTTCACTGGCATCTCTACTGGACCTAACCTTGGTCTGCTTGCTGGTGATCTGTAGTTACAGCTGCTAGCATGTGTATTGTATCACCTGCAGATACCCGAGCTAAGGCTGGGGTGCTCCTGTGCGCATGTTGGCTTTGCTGTATGTTTGTCATGTCTACCTGTAATAGCTCCACCCTGGTGTAACTGTGCTGACTTCAGAGAAGTCATCCCTGTCAGAGCACATTCTGGCAAGCATTGAGCTTACTCATCCTTGTCTGATTACTTCATCAGTGCTTGTTTAGTTGAATGCCATATTTATTTTAATTAAAATTCCATTCATTCTGTTTTTCTTTCTTCCATTACACAGAATCACAGAATTTCTAGGTTGGAAGAAACCTCAAGATCATTGAGTCCAACCTCTGACCTAACACTAACAAGTCCTCCACTAAACCATATCCCTAAGCTCTACATCTAAACGTCTTTAAAAGACTTCCAGGGATGGTGACTCCACCACTTTCCTGGGTAGCCCGTTCCAATGTCTAACAACCCTTTTGGTAAAGAAGTTCTTCCTAACAACATCCAACCTAAAACTCCCCTGGTGCAACTTAAGCCCATTCCCCCTTGACCAGGCACGTGGGAGAACAGACCAACCCCCACCTTGCTACAGCCTCCTTTAAGGTACCTGGAGAGAGCAACAAGGTCGCTCCTGAACAAGCCCAGCTCCCTCAGCCGCTCCTCATAAGACTTGTTCTCCAGGCCCCTCACCAGCTTCGTTGCCCTTCTTTGGACCCGCTTGAGCACCTCGATGTCCTACTTGTTGCAAGGGGCCCAAAACTGAACACAGTACTCGAGGTGTGGCCTCACCAGAGCTGAGTACAGGGGGATGATCAATTCCCTAGACCTGCTTGCCACACTGCTTCTTATACAAGCCAGGATGCTGTTGGCCTTCTTGGCCACCTGAGCACACTGCTGGCTCATATTCAGCAGACTATCAACCATCACTCCCAGGTCCTTCTCTGCCAGGCAGCTCTCCAACCACTCATCTCCCAGCCTGTAGCTCTGCTTGGGGTTGTTGTGCCCCAGGTGCAGGACCCGTATTTTCTCATACTTTAGTCATCCCTGGGCCTATTGGTTTTCAAGAAGCCCCTTCATTTCAAGCAGATTTTGGATCTGATAAAAGCAAGCATTGCCTTGCTATCATTGCTTCTCTCCAGCTTCCCCAAGCCTGTTCCTGTCATGTTTATTATTTAGCAGAGAAATGTGGAGTTTTCCCTACTCCACTGGTTAATTTTTCTCTTGTTTTATTTTATTTTTTTGTTTTTCTCTTTGAATTCCCTCTTTTAACCACCATTGAGCTAATCTAACTCTTTTCCTCATCTCCCTCATAAAGCAGGCATCTTCAACAAAGCCAAACCCCCAGCAGTCATTACCTAAATGTCATCCCAGACCTGGTATGGTACAAGGCTGGATTCTGAATTCACCTGTCATCATGGTTTGAAGCACAATTTCTCTCTCAGTGAGTGACATCATTCTTTATACAAAAAATAGACCATCTTGAAAAAGATTTAACCAATGTTTTTGCCTCGCTGCAGCATAGTACTTAAGCACATGTTTAAGTATGCAGGTGCATCTGACCTCTGTCCTTCTTGTCTGTACCATGCAATGTCATGTGTAGAAAAGGAGCTCCAAAAATAATCTGTAATAATCATGTGATTGATGATGAGTACATGGCAAAATTGACATTTAAAGGAAAACAGAAAAATTTAACACGGGAATATTACGTTATTTAGCAGTGGAAGACATATGAAAGCTGAGACAGATAGATACAATTCTTCTGAAATGTCATACAATTTGTTGGGAGCAATGACAATATTGGAATCTTTCAATGGCATTTGTCATTGTCAGAGGCGGGTCAGTAGACTAGATGGAGCCAATTGTGATCCATTATGACAATGACTAGGCCCTTAGGGACCAAAACAGTCTTTGGGTTGCTCTTTATACAATTACAGCAAGCCCAGCTTGTGCTGGACACAAGTGTAGTAAGTACAGTACCAGTATATGTTTTATATAAAAGACCTACTTGCTGAAAATTGAAGTGTTTTTTGTTGTTTTTCTGGTACTGTTAATTTGCTTTGACTAATCATGATAAATTTTCCTTCTTTATTCTTCATATATGTAGTGTTTTAATTCTTAAGAAGTTCCCTTTTATTAGAATAGGAATGTGCCTTTTTAGTTTCTTTCCTTTTTTTTTTTTTTTTTTGGTGGGGGGGTTCATATGCTTAGGGTCTGCAAAATGGAAACAGATTATCTTCTTTTCCTAAGGAGTGTCAGGACCCTTCTGAGAGATCTACTTCGCAGACTTAAATCTGGGGGCAAGTAACAAAAGAAGATAAGAAAGAGAGTACAGTAATACATCAGATTATCAAGCTGCAATTTATATCTTTTATACAGAAGACACTACATGAGTCTTGCCTAAAAGGCAAGAAAACAGAGCCTGCATGAATAGTGAAGCAGAGTCAATATTTCATTTTTGATGCTGCCTCTGGCAGGCTTGGTTGTATTTCCAGAACCTGAGTTTAGGTGATATTTCCAAGATACAACCTTATCTAAAGGTGGGATAGGTAAAGAGTTGTTCTCACTTGCTACCATGGCTTCTGAGTGATCACAGTTGCTATAGGCAGCTGTAATTGAAGTGTTTAGTGTTTGCTAAATATGGTTATTACCTGAGGGTTCTTGAAATACTGTTTGCATTTTTTATGGTCATTGGATTCTCCTGATTACCAGATGTAATAGACTTTTTATGCTACAATGCAACTGTTGAACATTTTAATTGGAATGCCATGTCAAATTTTTAAATTAAAAATCAAATACTCAAAGCACCAGTGCTTTTTTGATTACTAAAATTAAAACCTAATTGAATTCTCCCACCAAAAAATATCCTGTGGAAATTTAATTAGAGAAGTGTAAGAGAGCTGATTTTTAAAACATATTAATTTTTAATTAGGAGAAATCTGAAAGGCAAATTAGTAAGTTTTAAATTTTCCAAACTATGAATATGGAGATGCCATGTGGTACAGCAAAGAGAAGACCCAAGTCCAACTTCCTAAATGACTATATAACTGTGTGGATAGTTGTTTTTGTGGTAAATCCTCATAAAAATCCTCCATCTTTTGCATGTCAGCATATTGAAAGATTACAATAAAGTTAAAGAAGCTTCAAATGAACTTTTGGAGTAGGGTGCAAATAGGGAGGTCAGCTGGTTATTTTGCAGTGCGATCTGAGGTACACCCATGTCTTAAGTGTTCACCTGTTGACTTGCACGATGCATCTGCTCTTAGTTTGGGGTTGATGTAGGTCCCATTCTCAAGTCCTTAGCCTGCCCTGTTGTGTTGCAAGGTGCCTAACTCCAGGGCTCTGCCCCAGGGGGTAGGCACTTGCATTGCGGGCATTGCAACCGTCCATGTTGCCTTGCCTTTGTTTGATATTCCACTGCACACACAGGAAGATTCACACAGCATTAATAAAGGCGAAAAAATCATTGACAACCGAGGTGGGCTCAATTTGGCCTTGTCAGGATGTTTCCATTTCCCATAGATTTTAGTGGTTTGGGTTTGCATGCAAAGTGTCAGAGAATTAGAATAGGTGACAAGTGCCCTTGGGAAAGGACAGTGTCATCATAAGTCAGCGAGACTGGAAATGATTACACCTCTACTTATTCTTTTTTTTTTTTTTTTTTTTTTTTTTTCCCTGAAAAATGTGTATCCCACAAACTAGCCACAAACTAGTTCTGTATTTTGCGGTGCTGTGTGGTACACAGCATGTCATGATACAGCAGTTAGGAGACAATTTAATTTAACGAAGAAAAAAATAAAAAGACTAACTGCAGCTCTCTGGAGACTCACTGCTTAATGATATACACTTAAAAGCATAAGGAATAACAAAATGAAGAGGACCTGTGCATTAAGGGTACATTCTGATCTGGGGTATTTCAGTCTTTCACAGCTGAAGTCATGCCAGTGTGTGACATTGGCTCAGACACTGCACTTGGAGAGAGATGGGAGACACCTACGTAAGCAGGCACCCTGGGGTTTAGGCTGACTTCAGTATGCTCTGGATCATTCTGCTGGTGTGTGACTTAAGGCATGGCACCAATCCCTTTGATTGCTCACTTTTATCACTATCTTGGACAGCCTTCTCTGTCTTCAAGAACAAAGAAGAAGCCTGCTCATGGTTAAGATACTCAGCTAGAAAAGAAAAACTGAAACATGAACCAGAAAGCCTTTTCCTTTACTCTTTTACTAAAACACTAAAGTACAAAACAACAACAACAAAACCCACCACCAATAGCTATTGCCTCCTGTATTTTTCCACAACTTACGAGTCTTGACGCTTACCCTATTGCTCAGCTTGAAATGGAGAAGACACACCCTTGTCAATGGCTAGTCTGGTGTCAGTGGCATTTTTCTGGGAAGAAGGTGAGACATGAGGGTTTTAAAAACCTATCTCCCAATTCCTGGACCATTAGGCTAGTATAAAAGGACTATATACATGTTCTCATCCCACCTGAAGGGAAATGAGGCAGAAGGTGTGTGCCATCTTCTTTCTGAAGATTCCACCATTCAGGTAACCCTGTGGATTTTCTGGCTTCTTAGTACAGATTCAAATTATTATTATTTAATTATTTATTTTGTTTTGGCCTAGAATTGAGTTTGGTGTCAGAACCCAAATTTTGTGTGTCAGGCATTTTCCAAATGTCAGCTTACATGCCTAAGTCTTCTAACAGAAGAACCGGGAGCTATATATATTGGAATCCTGTGAAAAGCTAATTACCTGATTTAGGAAGAATGGTCAAAAACGTTTTAGCTTTTCATGGTAACTTTGTCCGTTATATGTTGACTTAATAGTCCCATATGCACATAAGACTGAAGGAATAAAGGTATGTTTTGGCTATTATGTAGGCTGATGAACTGCTTCTCTTCTTCAGTTGCCATTTTTTTAAGTCACTTTTGCAATTAAACAATCTTGTTATCTTTCATATGTTTTCTCATTGCATATTTAGGCATTCTGCTGTCTATAAGCAGCTATTACAACAACTTACTTGTTTTCCACTTATATGAAATAACAGTTTACTGATTACTCAAAGGTCCATACTTTTTTTTTTTTTTTAATTATTATCATAACAGAACATTATTATTATCATAGCAGAAAGTCTATTTAGAGAAGTAGGTTTTAAACGCATCTGAAAATCAAGGAGCATTAAAGTCTGGGAAAGGCCTTTGGAATTGCAGTACTTACAACAGGATGAAGAAGAGGGTGAATGTAAAGAGTTCACATGATAGATGCTTGGTTCACCACAGTACAAACACTTTCACACTGGATAATGATTCAAGATGTTACTGCTTTTTGTTTACTTGATACTCACAGCTGAGCCTTGTTAACAGTGCAAAGTCAGTCAGATTAGTTTAAATAGCTTTCAGATCTGCAAGGACACATCTGCTTGTGCCTGTTCTCAGTGTTTCATTTTGTTAAAGTCAATTTAAAAAAATGCACAAGAAATATAGGTTTATATAAAACCAAAAAGTTATATTAGACAAAAATCAACATAATCCATGTGAATCAGGTTTGTCAATCACTTTCAGGAGGAGATTGGGATTTATTGCCCCCCTTCTTTTCACCCCAAAGAACAAAACTCCCAGCCCTTCTTCTCTGAGAAGATTATTGCATTTCTGCCCAGTGCACCTCATTCCTTTGGGAGACAGGGTGCTGATAAGATAGGCAATTCATCTGATCCCACATCACAAATCTTGTATTACCAGTCCTGAAAGCACAGAAATATCAATACTGAGGAAAAACAAAAAACAAAAGGAAAAACACTGCTCATGGAAGGAATTTGGAAAGTGAAAAGTATCTGCACACGGACAGTTTGTCCTAAAGTGTACTATCCCTGACTTCTTTGCCCTGTAGCACTGTCGTTAGACATCTGTCAATGCAGGATGAACCCTCATGCCACCCTAGTCCCTCCCTGCATGGTGGGAGCTAGCTTGCAGAGATGACTGCTTTGAAATTAAATGGGCAGATCAGCCAAGTTTGGTAAAGGCTGATTTTATGCTGGTTGGAGTAACTTGTGGTCTCCACAAAGGTTTAGGAGAACAGAGTTTGTGTCAGTGAGAGCTAAGCAGCAAGCTATTGATTAGTTTCTTTCACATTAGTTTAATTTGATGTTCATGTAACCAAGCCTTATTTGTAGCGGGATAATAGGAAAACAGCACTGCAACACAAGAATTTCCAGCCAAAATAAAGCAAGGCAATTACAGATTGTCCACTGGGTTGATGCAATAATCTTTCATTTCAGAACAGCTGAGTTCTGGACCCCAAGTGTAACCCTCTAGCAGATGCCTCTGTCAGCAACAAGAGGCTGTTTCAATCTGTTTAGAGCAGAAATGCTGGGAAAACAGAGGTTATATGTGGAAAAGAAATATACTTCTCAGGGAAAGGATTTAGTTAGTGTTTTTTTTTGTTTTTGTTTTTGTTTTTTTTCTCCCTCTTTTCCCCCTTTTTTTTTTCATCTGTTTTCCCTAAATAGAGGAAACTAGGAATATTTTCTTCTTACCAGTTAGAGCAACTGAACATTCAATTCCTTGGGCTACTTTCTCCACTGTCAGGGATAAAATGTTGGAGTTTATTTAGAAAAAAAGAAACCAACCAACCAAAGTGGCTTCATGCAGATTTACATACTGTCAAAACAATATATTGAGGTGTTGTCAACATTTGCAAAAGGTAACAATAGGAGTTCTTAAGATCCAGAAATGTTAGATGTTGCTAAAGTTTTCTTTGTAAATTATAATAACAAAAAAAACAAACAAACATTTATTTATTGGCAAAGAACATCTATTCATCAAAAAGTTTCCTCAAAATGTAACTGCTTAGGTAATGTATACACAAAGATTTCTAAGACCCAGAAATACAGTTTGGCATGAAGAGGGATCACCTAAAGCAAATCCCTACATCATCACTTGTTTGTAGTGTGGAGATTACTGCATCCACCTAGGATATGCAAGACCTAAACTCAAATCCCTTCTCTAACAGATTTGAAATTGTGTCACATGTTTCTGTGAAATGCCAGCTATTTAAGTCACAGATCTGATTTCTCTGCCAAAGGCTATTTTCTACCCTTGTACTCTAAACAGTATATCTTCCACTGAAGTAAAAGAAAGTCTGGGTTTGACCTTTTCGGGAAAACTTGATGTGAGGGTGATGTAACTGGTAAAGTGAAAGATCGGGCATAGCCATAATACGGACTTTAACAGATGGGGGCAAGGTGTAGCAGCAGAAACATGCAAATCCTGCTTTTATTCAGGATGGTCCAAAAGAAACAGAGCATCTACTCATTCTACAGAACTTTTTGTCTCAGAACTACTTAAAAAATAAAATAAAAATCCAGACATTTTTAAATATCAGAAAATGAATAATTTACCCTTTCCATTTTGGAAATGTTATCCCCAGAATTCAAAATTGCAGGAATACCATTCATCCTTCAAATGAACAACCTTCCCATACTGACCTCCTACCCCCCAAAACAACAACAACAACAAAAAACCCACTACCACTAAAAAAAAAAGCCACCACCCTTTTTATATTTCCCATTTGTCAAAGCACTGGGTACATGCTCAACTTTATGCTGGAGAACGACTGAGTACTATTTAGTTAACTGTCTTCTTTTGTCTTCATAGAGTTAAACCTATGATTGTTTGGGGTAAACATCATCTCTGAGCAGGTTAAACCCATTTACCATAGCATGGGCTAACTCATGTTTTAAAAGCTTTGAATACACAGAGTGCCTGGCTACACTGGAGCCATTGGAAAATACAAGAGGCAAAAGATAAGTGATCTAGAACTGAAATCCCCAAAATATACCTGAAAATGTGAATACTGAACAAAGTATGGAACAGGCTCATCTATAGACTGTACACTAGACACCTTGTAATAAATAAATCAATACTCAGGCACTGAAGAATAGTGAACTTGGAGGAGTTATGAGACTATGGTTTGGAATTTGATTCTCCTATTAAGTTCAGTATTTGTTTTGTTAATTAAACAGCTTTTTTTTTTTTTCAAGCCTTAACTCTTTCAGAGGCTGCGTTATGGTTGTTTAGTATTGGTGCATTGGGTGCTTTTATCATTTTAACTTTAGAAATACAAAGCATTTTATTTTAGATAGATTCTAATGAATTTTGTAATTAAAAGATTTTTACTTTTTTATCACAGGAATTACTTCATGCTTGAAAGCAAGAGGCCCTGACACACATTTAATGTTTATTTATCAAAGTGGCAAATCACTGGTAATTTATGCTGGGTCTAGCTCTACACAATGAGGTTACTGTCGCAGTAACAAACTCTAATTAAACAGGGCTAAGTTAGAGACCCGCTCTGTGTTGTGGTATCAAAGCAGTGTTTCATTATACTCCTGTCAGTTCCCATGTTGTGCATTTGCTTAATACTGAATGCAGACGAGTGAGGGGATCTAGCGACTAAAGACAGAGTTAGGTCTGGTGCAAACAGGGCTGTGTTACAACTTTGTGCACTGTTTCTATAGCAGAACTTGAAATGTTTTCCCTTTAGAAATATCAGAGATGGATTTCTCTGTACTCTGCCCTTTGGCTCCAGCCTGTGTTGTTGTGCTTGGTAGTCACTTGTGCCTGCAGTGAAGTCACTACAACAAGTTGATCTAGTAAAAAATGTCCTTGATCATGCATGGTAGGGGGGAATTGGGTCTTTAAAGGTCCCTTCCAACCCAAACCATTCTATGATTTCATGATTTTGTGACTCTATGACTGTCTTTCAGGAAGGCACTGCATGATGAATGTGGAGTGTGGATATGGGACCAGATCCTATTCCATGAAGTGAATGAGATGGGATGGTGAAAGAAGGTGATGCATCAGTGACGTAACCCCAGCCTTGCCTCTAGCTCCTCTTGAGAGAAATAAGAGCAACATGCCTTTACAGGTAGCACTTGAGAAAAAACACAAAACAGAGAGTGGGTAGCACTTCTGAAGCTTGTATCGTTGATTCACTGTTTTCCAAGGTGACTTGCACCACTGAGACAGGCCTACTATGGACTGTTGTGAAACTGCTGACATGCAACGGCATATGTCACACCTGAAAATGGGAGTAAGGCTCACGTGGAGCTCTGCAGGGATGACTACTGAAGGAGATGAGCCTGGTCTATGCAGCTCCAGTATAGAAACCCTGTTGCTGCATAAAGTTGGTTCTGAGTCCAAGCTAGTACAGCCTTCCTCTGGGTAGGGTGTATCTGATGCAATCTGGACCTATGGCTGTCTGATCCCCAAACAAAACCACATGAATTTGTGAGAGAAAGCAGTAGGAAACAGAACTAGAAAACTGCTATGTGTATTACCCTGGTGCAATGGCTACTTTTAATAATACTGACATGGAGCAATAGAAGAAGAAAGCAGCTAGATAAGCGCTTCAAGCTGTGCTCATCATGATGTGACCATGTTTAACAGCACAGCTCCCAGATGCACCATGCCAACTCCACAAACCGTGAAAGCTGACTTTTCACACGCAGCTCAGACTTGTTTCTAGTTCCACGAGAAGCCCCATTAAGTTGCTATTCATGCAAATACATGAATGAAATGCTGCGCTGTATTTGCTACCCAGCAAGATTTCAGACTCAGTCCTGATCTCAAGCCCTTTAGTGGTGGTAAGGGATCTTACCAGTGACTCCAACGGGCTGGATCAGGCATTCAACATCTTGACTTCATGGGGAATTTGTGGTGGAATTGAAAGGGTAGAAATCAGCTCTTAACCTTTGGCTGCACACAGTTACTGAAGACTATTCCCCCCAGTTGCTGGGCACAGCTATAGGCTGAAGACTCAGCTCTGCACAGCCCTGCTTTCACATTGCTCTGGCACACTGCACGTTTGCAGCAGCTTTCACAAGGAGTTCAGCTTCAGCTTGTAGCTTCCTCCCTCTCCCTCCCATGTGCCAAAAATGTGCCAGTTACAGAACAAAGGAAATATCACAGAGTCAGTTGGGTGGGAGAGCTACAGAGCCCAGCAATTACCTGCTGTTATCACCGTGGCTGTGCTTTCTGTCATGTTATATTTCACATTTGCATAGCTGTGTGTATTTGCTCTTTCATCGCTGTTGTACGCAAGCTGTAATCAGTTCATTTTATGGCTGTCTTCAGCTAAATTCTTTGTTGATTTTAACATGACAGAAGTTGAAAAGATTACATATTATAAATAGATAATTAATATATCAGCACAGCTTGTTGCTCTCTGTCTCTCCATCTCTTTATGAGAATCAGTTTCCTTTCCCTTTCTCTCCTCCACATAGACTGCATGAGAATTAAAATGAAGCCTGACAGCTTGATTAAAATTTCACCTGATATATTTCTGTTTCAAAAGAGGATTCCTCTGTCTTGAATAAATGGGTCATGTGTAAAAAATGAAATCACAGATCAGTTCCAGGTAGGGTAATTTATTCCTAATAGTATTTTTTTTTGTTTAATTTTGATTACAGTTTGAGCATATTTATATACAAGGATCTTCATGATGCTAAGAGATGCCGTGACATTAATGAAATTGGCTTCAGAGTATCATTTTGGGGAAGAGATGTACAATTTATTTATTTATTTATTTTTGAATGGTAAACTGAGGCACTAAGATGCATCACTTGCAGATGAGGTTAGAATTAAACTCATGTATCCTGAACTCAGGCATCATCTGGATATCCTTTTACTCCCATATCACAATGTCCATAGCTAGTGAACTACAGAGAATTAAATTTACTTCAGTTTGTAAAAGTATAATAATTTTTCAATAGATACAGGAATTTGAGCAAATTTAAGCCCCTTAAGTCTGCTTTTGTTAGGTACTTCCCATAAATCTGTTAAGAGTATTTTATAGATTCTGAGATCTTGTGGCCCTGCTGTGGAAAACTGATGCAGCACAAGCCCATTTCTGTAGCTTCCAAAGACCTTTCCACAGCTTTAAATAGGAAGAAAGCATTACGCATATATCTGAGAAGGGCAGTAGAAAATAAAACAGAGATATCTCTATGGCTGCTTTATAATTCACAAGCCCAGTCACATTGCAAATGCTATGCTTGTCAACATGAAATTTTATTTCTTTTTCTGTTGCCTGTGATGCCATCCTCAGCCTTCATCACTGAGCAACACCTTCATAGCACAGGGTTCGGGAAAAACCTGACAGACACCCAAAAGGTTATGTCTGATATATAACCTCAGATAGCTTTTCCTCCTAATAAAAACCTCACTACAGGTCAGCTGAGGTACAGGTGAAATAGGAATGTTTCTGTCAGTGTATACATATGTTTGCTTACAGAGAGCAACAATGCCAAAACACTATGGTAGGAAAAAAAAGTATAATAAGGACATCAAGTGAAGGGCATTATAGAAAATAACAGAAAAGAGATCTAAACATGGGGAGGATTTAATATCTGAGGAAGTGTAGCAGAGGAGCTAAGAGCCATGTATTTTCTTCACACGTAATGGGATCCCCAAGCCAAACCTCACACCACCTTAAGCAGAGTTTTCAGAGGTGAGCATCATTTAAATGGTCAGAGTTTAGTTTTCATCTTTTCCTTTTGGGAGCCAAATTTTGTCTAAAATTACAGCCTGTCTAAATCTTTTTCATTTCAATAGTGCGGCCGTAACAGTGAGATACACTGACCTAAAACAAAAACACCACTGCATATTTTGAACATAATGCAGCTAATTAATGCACTCAACCTGAATGACTTTGACATTTCTAAAAATCCAGACTGAACACTCACAACACTTAAGACAAGTGCAAATGTAATTTACCTCTGCTAGTAGGTCCCCTATATACTGTTGAAGCAATAAAAAGTGCCCGGAGTATAAAATTCTGATCAGAGATTGCTGGTTTTAATGATAATTTGTCACAGCATTTTTCAAAGATTTTTCTTTCATGAAAAAAACCTTTTAGAACCCAAATGCAACATTTAGCTGGATAAAAGAAAGCTGTATGAATTTCTGGTTTTGAAAAGTCCCCAAATGCTTCTGCATGAAGTCACTCACAAGACACTTTGAGACTTTCCTTCTTTAATGAATAAAGCATTTCAAAAAAATTTCCTGAAAGGAATTTGCATTTGTTGCTAATCCTTTTTTCCTCTGTTAACAATTCTGCAAATCTCTGATGCACCATAGTTCAATAAGTAGGCAACCTTCTCTGTTTAGTGTTTTGATTTGTTTTTTTGCCTTTAATGTAAGATAAAACAGGCCGCTTGGTTGGAAATGAATTTCTGAAGATTCCTCTGAAGATTCCTGGAAAAATAGAGAAAATGAGAACCCACAGTAGTCATATAAAAATGTTGGTATGAAGATCGTTTGGTGGTTCCTGAGTACTTGTGAAATATGCTGCAAAAAAACCCCAAAACCAAACCAAACCAAACCAAAACAGAGGAACAATTTGGATGCAGAGGAAAATCTGGATGTGTTTCAAGTTTGGAGTTGTCCTCTTTATCCCTTGAGTCATAATGATGATGCTAGCTAATTGTTGCAGAGTTTTTCTTAAAAGTCCACTTCAAAATCCCAGGTCCATTTATGCATTATTGATTTAAAACGGAGCTGAGGTTAGTCTGATTGACAGAACTGGTCAAAGTTTGGAATAGCTTCTCCATGGGAAACTGCAATTTTTTGACATATCCTTTGTCCGAGATCACATGGAATAGTCTACAGTATTGAAATGAAATTACTTAGTCAAATCAGAACAAAAAATTGACATATTGCCACAGTAAGACCAGTATCTGGTAAATAAAGTGGTACTTGTGTGTTAGGCAAATATCTCTAACAGGGATGAGTAACTGCCACCAGGACCATGAAGTTACAATGTGGAGAACTCCAAACTCACCAGGAGCAGAGCTCTGCACTCCCTGCTGCAGTCCTAGTCAGGTAGCAGGCAACCATTGAGCTGACAGCACATTATGTAAAAGATAATTTAGCCTTGTAATTAAGGAAATATTAAGTGCATAATCACATTTATTCATTTAATTAAGTTTGGCAAGTTTGTCCTATGACGTTAGATATCAATTGCTAAAGATACACATTTACACTTAATAAGTGTAATTTCTGACTCACCTTATTTTGTTATTTGCCAAGTGAACACCTAGAGAGTCCTTTTAAATGGATTAAGCAGGAATACAAGCTTAATGCATTACAAGAGCATAATTGTACTTTTATTGCTCATTAAGTTTTGAGTTAATTATGTAGCAACCAGGTTTATGTTTTATTATATCAAACCTCAATCCATGGGCTTTTAGAATTAGTCTGGGGGAAGGAAAACAACTTCCAAATGTACTGCATGAATCTTATTTCAAGTGTGTTTATTTAAGAAAACCCACAACTCTGTATTTAAGAGAAGGCAATCATCCACTTCTGGGGTCATCCATCCTCACATGAACAGCAGAATTTGTGTGATGGCTCCTGCTGATTGCACTACACTTTGAATCTACTGTAAAGGAACCTCCTTGAGAGATGCAGGGGTGTCTTATTGCAGGAGATTCTCCATTCTTATAGAGACGGCCATGTTTTCTTCCCTTTCCATCCAAGTTTTGTTACGTTTTTATTTTATCTTATCTATTTTTTTTTAAATTTAATTAATTAATTAATTTATGTATTCTATCACTCTCCTCTGAACAGTTAAAATAACCTATTTTCTTTCTTGTGGGGCATAGTCTGTCCTGGGTGAATTCCTGTTATCTAAATAGCTGTTGGAAAGTTTAGTGTCTACTCTAAAGAAGTTACCAAAAATCCCTGAGAAACATACATCCAGCAGGATTTTATTTATTTATTTATTTTTCTGGATGATCTATGGCATATCTCTTGGAATAGAATCTCCTCTTTGTTTACAAAGAAGAGACTCATAGGTGACCAACTTGGGGTACATTGTGAAGACTATCAAAGTTAATAGGGAGCAATCTTATTTGCAGACTACAGGCAATCAGATACGAGGGTCAAAGATAGAGGGAGAAATTCTCATCAGGGCATCAGGAGAGATGAGATGAGAGATGAGAGCGATCCTGACACCTACCCAGGAACTCCTTAGTTAATTATTTTTATTTATTTATTTATTTTTTCCCATTGATTTCATTATCACAGAATCACAGAATCATTAAGGTTGGAAAAGACCTCCAAGGTCATCTGGTTCAACTGACCCTCAACCACCAACATCACCCACTAAACCATGTCCCTGTGCACCACATCCAACCTTTCCTTGAACACTCCCAGGGCCGGCGACTCCACCACTTCCCTTTTTAACCTGTTCCAATGCCTGACCACTCTTTCTAAGAAGAAAATTCTTCTATTTTCCAACCTGAACCTTAACTTGAGGCCATTCATTCTAGTCCTGCTGCTAGTTATCTGCAAGAAGAGGCCAACCCGCAACTCTCTACACCTCAGGTAGAGATACGTGAGTATCTCTAGAAGTTTACAGTAGTAACAGCTATGGTAAAATGTAAAAAATATCTTCAGTGAAAAGGCATGTTTCTAATTTCTACAGATGAACATTAGTGGCTTTTTTTTTGTACACCTGGAAATGAAAGAAATCATTTTTAGAAATAAACATCTTCCCATGTGACTAATCGAAGTAATTATTCAGATGTGTGCAATTCTGTGACATTTCAAGGGGATTCATTTTATGGGACAACTATCTGAATTTATATATATATAAATATATATATATATATATATTTTTTTTTTCCAGTTTAGAAGACTCTAAACATGCACAATTTGCCTAAATTCCAGTTTTGTGGAGCCTATCAAATCTTCGATTTCTAAATGTGACCTACTATCATTTTGAAACCTCTTTTAGAAACCTCATTTTAGACATGTATCTTTTCAGTGGGATGTATTTAATTTGTGACTTGAATTTCAGTGTTTCAAAATACACTTCACCGGTTGCTGTATGTACCTGGCATTAATGAAGGAGATTAACAAAAAAAAAGGGGGGGGGGAAGGGAGGAGGGGGAAGAAAATTAAAAGAAAAATAAGAAAAGAAGGGGGAAGAAAAATAAAACTGTGAAATGTCTTCTAAGTATAAAATTGCATGTGAATACTGAAAAAAACCTTGATGATGCAAAGCACATAGAGTCCCCCACATGTAAGCTTTGGTTGGATGGACTTCCAATACAAAATTTAATGTTATCTGACTAGGTGTGAACAGAATTGTCAATGAAGCAGAAAACAGGACACAGCTGATAAAACAATGAAGTTAAATAAAGATAAGACAACTTTGTTGCAAAGCCAAAAATTCCATTTGAATGATTCCAGTGTAGTAATTTTAATCCTGCTAAAATTAATCTCTTGGAAGTGTAACCAGGATGAATTTTCCTGTCTCCATCTAACCTGGTT